GACCAGGCACATATATGCATCGGTCCAAGTTGCCATACCTCATTAACACCGGACTCATAAAAGTAGTTAATTCAGGGGTGGTAATATATAAAAGAAAGATTGCAATAAGGATATAGTACAGGGAGAAAGAAATAGTTCGTAGAAAGAAAGATATGAAGTGATTTTAATCTCACTGTTTAAGAGAAAACAGAGAGTGTATACACCTACGCTATTGTGATCGATTCTGAGCCATGTCACCAAGAGTCTCCAACCATTGGTTACGATAGTCACGCGGACCCCACCCAAGTAGTCTGCATCTACCAACATGGCTGAGAATAGAAGTTAGTGACTTCAAGGACTGATGCCACATTTTGGTTTGGCCGCCCTAACTTTCTTCCAACCATCTCCAACACCGGTTAGCATTGCACATCGTGGTAATCAGTGTTCGGGCATACGTAACAAGTGGTCTAACCATCTCAGTCGATGAAGATTCACAACCTCATCAACTGATTTACCATCATTCCCCAATACCCTGCATCTAACCTCACTATTACTTATCCGGTGATCCCAGCTGACGCCAGCAATATTTCTGAGGCATCTGTGGTCAAATACTAGTAGCTTACGAGTATCTTCTACTCTTAATGGCCATGTTTCGCTGCCAATCATGTTCTGTCCAGCTTGGATCCAGTGGGTGTCACTGATTCTGAGCAACGTCAAGTTGTATCTCCTCATTTCTGTTGCTATTTGACTGGTCTTTCAGGTCTCTCTAATTGTCTAAACATTTCGTGTACCTATATTAATTGTTTGTGTTGTTGTTAGAAGGGGCGTCGGCCTCATGTGTTCCGCCGAAGAATCTGGACTTTCATCACTAGGCGTGACAATTGTTCTGAATGGAGATCCTTCTACTCCCAGTGCATAGTTGAAGATGTCTAATTTATTTGATCTGGCTGGCGTTTTTATGGAGATTGTTTTTTATGGGATTTAGTTGCTGACCCCATGCCCAACCCTCCTTTACTCGGTCTTGAGAACTGCAGTAGCCGTGAAAGTGCTGCAAGCGGAGTTATTTTATGATATCTTGCAGCATTATGTAATGAATTTTGTATCTCTATCCTTTACATCTTGGTTGATTTCTTGAAAACGTCGCAATTTGTGGCTTTCGTCGTTTTCAGAGATAACTCAGAACATAGCCGATATCGCTATAATGAAAGTTAATTTTGGAGTCCAGGACTCTCGTTTTGCCCCATTTTGGGCTCGTCAGCCGGATGTACCTACATCATAGAGTTGATGTTCACTTCGGCACTCCAACCCAATTCCGTTCTCTTCAAACGCAACCGCGTTATCCAATAAGTTACTGAGTCCAGATTGCCACTGATCGATTGCAGCCCTAAACATCAATGGAAAGATTCAAATAATTAATAGGAAAATAAATTAAAGCCAATGGCAGTTATGCTATAGTATTGTTTTACATTCTTAAAAATAAAACTCACTTAGCTGTAACAATTCTTGGTTGTATTAACGAATGGACTGTTTCATCGATTGCATACTGCTCCTATTCACTTATTTTAATTCATTTATTCTCTTCTCGTTGTACTCGTCCTTCATCGCTTCACGATTTCATTTCCTTATTTGTGCGGCGCACAGACTGGGTAAGGTGGTATACAAGAGTCTGTCTGTACACCTAGCTCAGATCACACGTTAGGCAAACTTAAGGCGTTTGTATTTTAATGGCCCGGTATCTGACTCCAATTTGATCGTATGAATGATTGTTGTCGAAATGTATACGTTGTCTCTCCTCGTATATAATCATCGACTTAAATCGCGTTAGTCAATAACGGAATTAAATAAGTCAAATAACGAGAATGGACTTTTGGCGGGTAAGCGAACTCCCATTTAGTCAAGCGTTCATCAGTATTTATAGTCACACAAAAATAAGTTACAGACATGTGATGAATAGGATAAGAAATGTACACGCACATATGCGATCATATGAAAACAGTCAAGATTGATAAGCGGCTAATTAACAAGGTCAAAATGTGACTCAAGTAGAATGAATAGATAGGGCTGTCCGAAAGCTGGAATAAGGTATATGGGCTTAACATAGTAACCGACTTACTTACTTACTCCTGTTGCTCCTCGTGAAGGAGCATAGGCCGCTCACCAGCATTCTCCATCCAACCCTGTCCTGGGCAGTCCTTTCTAGCTCCTTCCAGTTGTTATTAATCTTTTTCATATCTGCTTCTATTTCCCGACGTAATGTGTTCTTTGGCCTTCCACTTTTCCGCTTCCCTTCACGATTCCAAGTTAGGACTTGCCTCGTTATGCAGTTTGATGATTTGCGTAATGTATGTCCTATCCATTTCCATCGTCTTTTCCTAATTTCCTCTTCAGCTGGAAGCTGGTTTGTTCTCTCCCACAGAAGGCTGTTGCTGATGGTATCCGGCCAATGGATGTTGAGTATCTTGCATAGACAACCATTTATAAATACTTATACCTTCTTGATGGTGGTTGTTGCAGTTCCCCAAGTTTCAACTCCGCACAGCAGAACTGCCTTGACGTTCGTATCGAAGATTCTCACTTTGATATTGGTTGAAAGTTGTTTTGAGTTCCATATGTTCTTCAATTGTAGGAATGCTGTCCTTGCTTTGCCAATCTTCGCCTTTACGTCTGCATCTGAACCTCCTTGTTCATCGACGATGCTTTCCAGATATGTGAAGGATTCTACATCTTCCAGAGTTTCGCCATCAAGTGTGATTGGATTGCTGTTCTCCGCTTTGAATTTGAGGACCTTGGTTTTCCCCTTGTGTATGCTGAGGCCTACTGATGCAGAGACTGCTGCTACACTGGCTGTTTTTATCTGCATTTGTTCGTGTGTATGCGATAAGAGGGCTAGGTCATCTGCGAAGTCCAAATCGTCTAATTGATTCTGAGCTGTCCATTGCTATTCCATGTTTTCTCTCAGATGTCGAGTTCTTCATGATCCAGTCCGATGAACATTTAAGTGGCTTAATGCTACACTAGAAGTGGCTTCGACATCATTCGCTTCAGAAGCCTCATTACTCTAAAAAACGTACCATCGTGAGATCCTTTTCTCCGTCTTGTAGTTGCAAATTCAGCTTTTTCCCAGCTGCCTTTTTTATACCATCAGCGATACAAATACACCTGATCTTTTTAGTTCATGTGCACTTCTCATTTTTAGATCTATTATTTGTAGATTTATGTACCACTTTAAGTAACAGTTTGATTTACTCTCGAGTCTGTCAACTGTTTCCTTTGTCTATAAACTTTTAGGAGAATGACTCATGTGATCTCTTGGGGTTTTATTTCATTAAGTAGATCTTTAAATAGGCCCGCGTTATTCCTAAAACAACATGCAGGCTCGACTCTGTTGAATATAACCGACTTTTCGCAATGATCAAATTTTCGTTTTTCAACTACAGTTAAGGGAACCTAGTTTTCCTTTATGATACCAGGCTGTTTCTTTTTCTATTTTTCACTTGTATCCATCCAATTTCAGATACTGTTGGTTTATTGATGTGTTGGGTCTATGAGACCTATTGTTTGTGATTTTCTCTGATACAGATAGGCTTGACTTGCCAACTGGGTTTGCTATGTCTCCTGCCTGTTGTTGTTGTTAAGACAACGAAGCACTAAAGAAGCACGTTTAAAGTTAGCTTTCTTAGGGTTTTGTTTTTGCCAAACCTCTGAAATCAGCCTTTTATCTACTCGACCTTGAAGAGACAGTCAGCATCGAACTTTCTTAAAACGATTGTCCATCGATTTGTGTATCGACGGGTTAAATATCGTTTTATTCCTCCCCATGGCCGAAAATGTTACTTTCGATTTTTAGCCACTTTCACCATTGTAATAGCTTTTGATGACAAACCGATTACATCCGAGCAATAATACTTCCACAACCATACGCAGCCGAAAATACTACACCTTTTAAAGACTCGTGGTACCACTCTTTGCACTCATCGTACCTGCATTCGTCTCTCCACCGGGTATCAGTTACAGGTTTTTTTTAAACTATTCTACTAAATGGAATGAGTACAGATGAAAACTAGTGAAAACGATATTTCTTTTAATATTTTAACCGAAATTAGAGTTAAAACAATAGTCTTGATAAGTAAACGATCAGACTTAAAGATTTACACAACAAGGAAATATAACATTGTCTTTCTCTAAAAGCAAGGAAAATAAAATTTGTAATTGCCAGTAATCGAGGTGTGCACTTTGATGGAGACTTCTAGTCTAACAGCACAAAAACGACTGTTGATATGGATCCAGTTGGTTACTCTGGCGCGACAGTAACCCCAGCCAAACGGAACCCTAATATCTCAGGGTCCCCAGATAAAAGCACACACAAAACAAGCTTTTAGGAACTGTATATGGATAGCGAATTTGTAGTCCCTCGCTAGAGTTTTGAATACGGGTCTGCGAACTTCAGCAAGCCTGGATTTCAGGGCTTTCCAAAGACAAGTAAACCTATCTGTTGACCGTTCCGCATTAATGTGCGAACGTTGGAGGTCAGTTTGAACGGGGCATATGGGCCAAGGAAAGCTGAATCAGACTTTGTATTCGTTGTTAGCGTTTCGATACCCGATCATTCAGAGGCTTGATATCAACTAGACAGGACAGTACTTCCGATATAAACGAGCTACTGAGTGAGTTGGAAAATAAGGGTAAATATCGAATAAAAAGTACATGCCGTTTAAGGGTAAATATTCGATTACTGAGAATATATAATATGCTTTTTGTGTGACCTAATATGTCTGACCTTGTATAATTTGTATTTTGACCATGATCTGCGAAATTCCTGATATACTCATAACAGAGCGTTCTCAGCATACCGATTACTTTAAAATCCGTAGGTATGAATCACTTTCTACTACACTTGGAAGTCTTATTGACTACCATTTTTGCAATTCATCTGTTGCAATATCAGAAGTTATTTAACATACTAATTTTTTATCTTCGAGGGTTTTGTTTCGTTTTTTACATGGTATATTATTTTCTCATAGTTTATACAGGAGCAAGGATGCCAATCTATGAAATTATTCGCCAAGATATTTTCCATTTACCTCCTGCAAGTCATTTCACTGTAAAATCAACTAAGAATTCTTTCTCAGGTTTGTATTTCTAAATCATGATCTATTTGCCATAGATAAGTCACATGTTATGCCAAAACAGAAACTATCTGCCATGGAAAAAACGAACACTGAACTAATTTATGAGAATAATTCGAAATTTGTTATTCAAGCAGCTTTTACTGGGGTAATAGCTGGATCTTTTGCTCAGTTCTTAGCAAGTCCCATTGATCTAATTAAGGTAAATCATAAAATTTGTTCTTTTTTTGACGAACATTTTATTGATCACATGGTGTGTTTGATGTTGTATTTAGTTTGCTTTTTACAAATAAAAAAGATTTTAGATTTTATGGTATAGATATGAGTATATGATCATACAGCTTCACGACATTCATCATATTCAGATTCAAAATATACTTTTACAAGCAAACGAACTAATCTCAAAGTCCATTGAAAAGTGTTCCGGTTTAATTCCTCACATTTTTATTATTTTATTATCATTATTAGTGACTATTAAATATTATATTTTTGGTAAAATATAAAATTCTCATCATAAAGTATTTCAACAAGTTTCCTTTTCTTATTTCTTGATCGATCTTTACGATAAATATTGAATGGTTGTCAGGTAAATGTTAGCAGTCCATGAATCGACATTGGAATAATGTATATTCTTTTCGATGCATATTACCAGCAACCACAATATCTTTGATTAGGCTCTTTTGTAAGTTGTACAACGAAATGTAGTAATCGTTTTACAAACGCACCTGAATAGGTTATGAGACTAATAGGCATAATGATGTGTTAAAACAAACAAGCAAAAGATAAGTTTTTGAAATATCCAGATGGCAGGAACAAGTGGCTCTGTGGTGTGTGCTACTTATATAGATAGAAGTAGTATATGATGTTAGTCGTGAACAGAATATCTGGCAGCAGAGAGAAAAGAGGATCGAACAGTAAAGAATGGAAACAGGATGCAATTTATCTGAAAATGCAAGAACAATGAAGTGTGAGTCAAACACATTCGATTGTCCCCACCCGTGTTCTTGTTCACTAAAGCCCAAATATTTAAGCAGGTCTAAATGCAGTGATATCAACTAAAAAACGAAACAGGATCAAAAAGGAGAATTACTGAGGATTAATATAATGTTAAGCATGAGAAAAACCACAATCTAAATCAATAATTATGTCTGGGTTTTTGTACTCATCTTCGAAACGTATTTTATTTGTGATGAATGTATAAGTCTATAGAAAGATAGATCGATGTTCATCTATAAATTTACCTACTCTTGTTATGAATTCTCTTTTTATTTAAGACCCAGTTACTCATTGCTTAGTACTTTTAGCTACTACTTCACTCGACAAGTTCAGAACAAGTCAGAACATAGTTGAACAGAGACATAATTATATTCCAAATAAGATGGTTGGGTGCAAGTAAGAGTCGCAATAAGAAAAACGTTAATATATTTATAATTTTCACATTAGATTCTAGAGTCTTCCCCAAGTAGTCGCTACCTTTGATTAGTTAAGAAATAGCTAGTCAACATGCCCTAACACAATCGTGCACGGAACATGCTTTAATCCAATCTATATCCTGCTAACATTCACGGGGCAGGTTTTGTTGTTTGCACAAAGTGATCACTTTCATTGTCGAAAACCTTGTGTCGGTCGTTTATAGTACTTTTCATCAACGCATTATTATAATTTGTTTAAATTTAGATTGGTACATCTTTGTTAGGAAATATCTAAAATTCATCATTTATCAAAAATTGTAATTTTAATAAAACGAAGAAGTTATTTAAAAATAGTAATTTTATTGTTTCATTCAGGTTCGGTTGCAAACAGAACGCAGATGGATGTCAGAACAACATCTGAATAATTACAAACCTTCTAAGCCAACTGAATTGCCTACTGGTCATCAGTAAGTAAGTTTCACAGGTTCAGCTTGAATTGTGATGGCTTTCATGAGATTAAGCACATTAGAATTCGATAACTAGGAGCTTCCCTTTATCACTAGATTGCTTGATTTCAATGTTTTAAGGCAAACGTTTGCTGTCATATTTTCGTATCATATTTATTATCTTCAATGTTATCATCAAGCTATTCAGGTCACGACTAACCGTTTGGTCAATGATATTTACAACTAACTAAATATTGAATAATGTTTGTATGTGTTGCGATTTGTGATGTACGAGTACTAATAGTGATACTCAATCTTCCTATACAACGAGCCCAACCATGCTATTTAAGTGAAAGACTGACATTTGAAGAGGAGTCTATTGACCAAACCGTGCATGTCTCATCCCTTGGCAATAAAAACTGTTTCTTAGCTAATACCATGCAGTTATCATCTGGCCAATTTCTCGTTGGCCCAATGTACCCGTCTAGTCCCTTAATTCTAGCCGCCCCAAACTGCAAAACTGGATGACACGGGTTCGAATTTCATAGGGAGCATCAGTCCCCTCAAGATTGTAGGTACGCTTGCATGGTTTCCCACCTGTGTATCTCAGACTACGTCACACCGCAACATATTACACGGGATTTAGGGTTACTTAGACCGGTGACCACATTACAAGCTGATGAATTGAATTGTGGTCAGCACTGAAGGACTTGAAAAACGTGACATTGATCACTATTCCGTGATCAATCAGTTACATTTTAATCAGTTTGATTTGTGCTATGAACAACTGATTTCTTATTGAGTCTTTACATTTTTTTGACCGTGAACCTGCTAATTCAATAATTCCGTACAGTAAAAGAAAGTTCCCGATCGTTGCTGCTACCTTGACGTGATGGTCGGGTTTGACTATCGTGATGAACCAATCGATCTATCCTGGCTTGAACAATCGTTCCTCAAGATCCTATCATGCCAGAGAGGTCGGTTGAAGAGCGGTAAGACTAAAAGCGGTAAACCCAAGGTCAAAGGGTGAAGTCGTACTGCCGACTGTACAGAGGTGTGATAGTTGTAAGGTGTTTCCTCTAGACAACCAGCATAACGGCGTTGCTGCATTCCCACAAAGAAAGGGTAGGATTAGAAAAGGTCGACCTTAAAAATACACACCTCACCTCATCCCGTGGATATCCGTCTCCGGTGGTAAGGTCTCAACAAGTACGAAGCGGAGCTAACACAAAAGTCATGTATGACCAGCCTCAAGAAGTTGTCCCTTGGGCACTGCAGTCACTCTCTCAGGTCACTAAAACCACCTCTAATCCAATTTTTTTTTCAGGTACCTCCAGAAGAACTCTTCTACAGTGTGGGCAACCGGGAAGTGATGACTACCCTCATACCTCTAACAGCACTCAAGATCACTGTATTCATAATCGATCTCCCTCTTCAATTCCTATTATTCCCCCCACATCAACTTTCAACGCTAAACTTCCTCTTTTGGCTTACTTCTCAAGTGTCACCATAGCCAACGATACTAGTGCTCAAAATATTGTCTCGGGTCTACTGAAACCTCGCTCCAAACTACACATTGGAACCTTCAACGTACGAACCCTATGTCCAATCGGCCAACAGGCCTCCTTGGCTAAAACTCTAGAATCTCGTCAGTCAGTCAGTCAGTAACAACGTAGAACTTCGTACGTACGTACATCAGTTCGAATTACCGTACCACATTAGCACAGAGATGCAGTTGTCTATTCAAATCCCATAGTGGTGGAGGTAGTAAAGAGTATAAGCAGTAATCGGGAAGATTTGGGTTTGGAGATGTTATTTAAAGAGTATAATACAGTGAAATAAATTTGGGAAGAGAAAAAGAAAGACAAGTAGGAATCAGGAGATTAGAAGTTGGAAGAACACAAAGAGTGTATGCACCTGCGCCATTGCAAACGATTTTGAGCCATGTCATTCAAGGTCTCTAACCATCGGTTGCTATCATCTCGCGGTCCCCAACCAGGTAGTCTACACCTACCAACATGACTCAGTCCACTTATCAGTGACTTCATGGACTTGTGCCATGTTTTGGTCTGGCCGCCCCTAGCTTTCTTCCAACCTACTCCTACACCACTGAACATCGCACGTCAAGGCAGTCGGTGGTTGGGCATAAGTAACAATCTCGTACCATTGATGTATGCCGAGTCTCCGAAACACGTATGCGGGATCCTAGTGTGGTCATTCACTTGACCTCACTGACATGACCTGACCAAAATGGGAAGCCGAAGAGATATACTCCTCGTGTATTTGGCGACCCGATGGCTAGTTCTCGCGGACTGGCAGGTGTAGGCATTGGATTAAGTACGAGGGCAGAACAAGCAATGTTAGAATGGATCTTCATCAACAGTCTTCTATGTGCTGTTCGGCTGAACGTCTTCGTAATAACTCGGAAGGATAGGGACACACGTCGTTGCCTTTTCGTCGTTTCTGCCTACGCTTCCACTGACTGTAGCCTGGATGATGTGAAAGATGAATTTTATAGAAAGCTTTCTGAAGAAGCTCAGAAAGCTGAACACTTAGACATAGTACTTGTAGCAGGTTACTTTAATACCCATGTATGTAACCTAAACCAAACAGTAAGAGATTTAGGTGGGTATTTTAGTATTCTGGCTCAGTGAACAGATAATGGTGATCGTCTGCTGCAACTGTGCTCAGACAATCGTTTATTTTTAGCAAACATTGATCTAAAGCATAAGGAGAGACATCGTCTAACATGGTGACCCCCTGCACCAAACCAACGGTGGACTCAAATAGGCCATATTGCCATCAGTCATCGTTGGGGAGGCTCGATAGAAGACTGTCGCTCATTCTGGAGTACCTGCTTGGACTCCGACCACGCCCTGATACGGGTACGCATCTGCTTGCGCCTCACTGGACGCAAAAGAGCCACAGTAAAAAAACCCATTAAAATTGAATTGAGTAGCGAGAAAACCAAAAGCAGGTTCCAGGAACAACTGACGTCACAATTAGGTAGTTCTGAAAACGAGGTTGACCCAGATGTTGCTTGGAAAGCTATACAAACTGCTGTGGAAACAGCAGTGACATATCAGTGATTTAAACCACAGGGTTACAAAGAACCAATGGATTTCCTCTAGGTTTATTGCACTGATGGATTCCCGTAAACTCATCCCATCAGGCTCTGAACACGATGAAGAGTGACAACAAATCAGATCTAGGTTAAGCAAAAGTCTAAGGAACGACCGTGAGCAGTGGTGGGCAACGAAAGCAAAAGAGATGGAAAAGGCGGCGTCTGTAGGTAACATCAGACAGCTTTACAGATTAATAAAAGAAACTGGAATTAAGAAGTCAAGTGTAGGTGAGACGCTCTCGGGAAAAGCCGACACTTATCTGCTCTCAGCCCAGAGCTTTGGAACGATGGGCGGAACACTTTAGAGAGCAGTTTAGCTGGCCTTCAGCTACTCTACAACTACCCACCATTGTTAAACAGTTTGAATGGGACATTAAAGTTCAAAAAGCTATGACTAATCTGAAATGAGGAAGGGCAGCTGGTCCAGATGTATTGGCTTCAGAGGTCTTTAAGGATGGTGGTCCAGTTTTGGCGATTAGGTTGAATAATGTTTTTAAACCTAAATCTGGGAGTTGGACGTAATCCCATCTGACTGTTCGCAGTCACCGATTGTTCCAATATATAAGAAGGGGTCAAAATCATCCTGCGTTAACCAAAGAGGGATTAGTTTGACTAATATAGCGTCTAAAGTGCTAGCCTCAATAATTATCGGGCGCCTAAGACTCGTGCGCTGTAGTGTGTACTTCGCTTCTGTTGTTTTTCCCACAAGACAGAATCAAGCAACTGTCTTTTATACTTTCCCAGCTGTTATTTTACGGAATATTTAGTTAATTCTATTACATTATTGTATAAATAATCAATTTAATCAGGAATATTTTCATTTGTTTTAATTTCAGACGCTTAAGTTTTACACGTACAGCTAAACAAATTATTTCCGAGGGTGGAATTATTGGATTGTGGCGTGGAGGATTACCTAGTGTTCAACGTGCAGCTCTTGTGAATATGGGTGAACTTACCACTTACGACACATCAAAGCGTTGGTTTGCCGTGCGTTTTCAATTAGAAGTGAGTTGTGTTGAAGACCCATTTATATCTTTTTATTTGTTTAGGAGAATATATTTGAAGTCTTCATCTGTTAGACAGTTTAATAGATATTGTACTCTAATTTGTGGTTCATCAACGATGGACAGTTTTGCACTCTTTTACAATACAAAGAAGAACCTTCGTGTATCAACACATGCATTCAGTCAGTCCTAATCATCGTAAATCCTGGCACATGGTTTAAGTTGACATCATATCAACACAACGTGATGAAATTATCAAGTAGAAGTTCAAGTGTTATGGAAAATTGTTAGACACATAGATGTGAGAGAAAAAAGTTGTGGAATAATGAGCTATAAAACTCAGAACTTAAGAGAGAGCCGGAGGTGAATGCATGTACGCCTTCGTAACCGATTTTTATCCATGTTACCCAATATTAATCATTGGTCTCGATACTCACATAAACCTCAACCAGATAGCCAACACCAACCATCTTAGTTTAATCCACTAGTCGGTAATCTCATTAATTGATGTTATATTTGAGTTTTACCACCCCCTAGCTTTCTTCCAAACTACTCCTACACCAGGAAATATCCAAATTAATCGGCGATATTAAAACGCTCTAATTAGTATGTAAAATGCATTGAGTTATAAAGTATTTACGACACAAATATTAACACTTTTGTATTAGTCGTTTGAATCTTCCCGTTGACTTTTAGGATTGTAATTGATCAGTCTCTTATTGGTATATGCGCATCGTGCGCAGATTGCATTGATACTGCTAACGAGTCTCAGATAAGACGAAGTGTGTCTTGGATTCCACTGCTGGCCATCATCCTTCCCTACAAATATTAAGATTTCTGATTTATATCTAATTATTAATAATCTTGAATTCAATTTTACTGAAAACTCCAAAGTGAACAGCTTTGTATTTCAAATTATTTTATTCTATTCTTAAACATATAATCGAAACAGGCCATAAGACTGATCTTAACTCGGCTTTTGTGGTGTTGTATAAAAGTGTAAAAGAGCGTATACTAAGGTTTATTGAAACCTTAGACATACGAAAATTCAAACCTCCTTTGTGTATTCAAAACAGTTTGCTCTCCTTAGACCTGCCCTGGTAATATTAGCTTATTATCCAGAGTGATTAAGTTTCAAATTGTGTTCACATTATTATTATTATTACTGATGTTATTATCCTTATCTCCTCTTACCCCATTTCCAGTCTAGTTGACCTTTTATTTTTTTAGATATAAATGTTCTTAACAGTCTTCAGTCTTCAGTAATAAGGATAGTAGGTTGGTAAACCTGTATTAATCCAGACACATTGCTTTCCAGTGAAGGTCCAGCTTCTCCTTGAAAGTATTCACTGATGGGGCTGATACCACTTGTTCGGGTAAGGCGTTCCAATGATTGACTACTCGATGAGAAAAACGAGACCCCACTTTAAGTTTATTAGATCGTGGTTTATGAACCTTCTTGCTATGACCTCGGAGATTATTAGTGCTGGAGTGAGCAAAAAGATAGGACATATTAACACCCAAATCATAAGTAAAGATACGAAATGCCAGTATGAGGTCACCTCGTGTCCTATGATACGACAAGGGGAAAAGATTTAAGCGTTTTAAACGCTCATCGTAAGGGAGTCTAGAAAGACCCTTCACTAATTTCGTTCCCACACGCTGGACACGCTCAAGGGAGTCAGTATCCTTTACCAGACACGGGCTAGCTGCTTGGATACAGTACTCTAAATCTGGTCTAACAAATATTGGATATAAAATTCGAAAAGTTTCCTCGTCAAAAGATTTGAAAGCTCGGCGAAGTGACCATAACGTACGAAAACCTTTGATAGCGGCTGTTTTGCAATGCGTAGTTGTTTTTAAATCATGACTTAATACTACTCCTAAGTTTTTATGCTCTTGAACGCATGGAAGAGGTTTACCCTCAATAGTGTAACGGTAACTATTACCGTGACCGATGTGCATTAGTACACTCTTCCTAGCATTGATTTCTAAGCCCCACATACGCAGTTATATAATATACCCTTGTGGGCCAGGGTAAATTTACATTGGTTTTCAGGAGAACCAGACACCATCCGGACTTTCACGTAAAAACCCAAACAGGTACATTTGTGATGAGATTGTTGCGCTAATATATCACATAGTTCTGATCATCTTCATCTTATTACATTATCGAAATTTATCAAAGTGACTAATTGCTTTATATTTTATATTAATTAAAAGTTGTGCTACACATAAATGATAACGAACAAATAAAATTGCTTATGAGAAAAGAGCCACTCGTTTGTTTACTACTTCTCAGTGTTACTGATATCACGTATTACTGTTATGTCCCATAATAAATATAATCTAGGCCTAAAATTATAACTCATAAGCCTAGAAGAGACCAGTGTAAATGGAATTATGTGTTGAATTGTTATTTTTTGTATGTAGGATGGTACGCTACTTCATGTTTGTGCATCGATTACGTCTGGTTTTGTTGCGGCAGTACTTGGGACACCAGCTGATATGATAAAAACACGAATGATGAATCAACGTACAACAGCATCGTCGTCAATAAATGGAAGCGGTCTATTATATGCCGGAGTGATTGATTGTTTTCGTAAAACTGTTAAAAATGAGGGATTCTCTGCTTTGTACAAAGGTTTCTTTTTGATATGGGCTCGCATGGTAAGACGTTTTATTTTTATCGAATTTTTCTGATGATTAAAGGAAGTAATTTTCACAGTTACTCACTGTTTCATTTAATGGTTGATAAATACAAATAATATAATAAGATTCACATACTCACACCTTTCGAGTTGCTATGATTCGTTTTCATATCTGCTTCCAATTCCCGATGCAGTGTGTTGTTTGGCGTTCCTTTTCACCATTTCCCTTCATGATTCGAAGTTGGCACTTGCTTCATGTTGCAACTTGATGATTTCCTCAATGTCTACCCTATCCACTTCCAACGTCTTTTCCTATTTTCCTCCTTCTTGTTTTTATTTCTTGAATCTTGTGTAGGTTTTCTGTAAAGATCCATTCCTTATGATGATACTTGTTGCTGCCTCCTGGCACATCCTGACACGTTGAAGTTAGCGTTTCTTTGATCCGTTCCCCGTTGGTGGTTACATAACATTTGATCACATTGATTTTGATTCTCTCTTTTTTTAAGAATGCTTTGATGATCCTGAGTCCATGAGATTCCCATCTTATAAGTGCTTTGCATGTTTCTTTGGGCAGTATCAGAGCAACTCCATGAGTATGTAGAGCATTTCCCTCTTCGTGACCAGAGTACAGCAGCATCTCTCCCGAATCCATCATGTTCTGTTCAGCTTGGATTCAGTGGGTGTCACTGATTCTGAGCAGCGTCAAGTTGTATCTCCTCCTTTGTGTTGCTATTTGACTGGTCTTCCAGGTCTCCCACGTTGCCCAAACATTTCGTGAGGCATCGGCCTCATGTGTTCCGCCGAAGAATCTGGACTTTCATCACTAGGCGTGACAATTGTTTTGAATGAAGATCCTTCAACTCCCAGTGCATAGTTGAAGATGTCTAGTTTGTTTGATCTGGTTGGCGTTTTTATGGAGATTTTTTTTATGGGGTTTGGTTGCTGACCCCATGCCCAACCCTCCTTTACTCGGTCTTGAGAACGGCAGTAGCCGTATAAGAGCTACATGCGGAGTTAATGATAAATACAACTTATTTGAAACTGTTCGGTTGCTTTAGTGGGAATATTTCGGTGCAGCCATGCACATACTTTTGTACACTCGACTTTAAAGTGAATTTTTTATTGTGTATGATCATGATCGTAAATAGTAGTAGTAATAGTGTAGTGAATAGAACACGGGTGGGGACAATCGGATTGTATTTAGTACAAAATTACAGAGTTACTTGGTATAATAGAAAAACCATATAGTAAAACGTTAATTTGCAAAATATCAATCCGTCATAGCAAACCGGACTCTTCCTGTTGCAATCATCAATCCATTGTCTCATGCACTCATGCGTTTTCTTACAAATTGCATTGTGTTCCCGCTCTTCCTTTCTTGATCTTCCCCCATCTTCTGCTGCCAGACATTTTATTTTTAACTCGCGTCATATACTACTTACATCACTATAAGTAGCACGCACCATAATAGTACTAAACTGTAAAAACTGTAATAGATTATGGAATGAATTTCAGACTTCCTATTCGAAATTCGAAGATTGAATTCTTTCAACACATTATGTCTTGAGAGAATTTCTATTTTTATCAATGAACCGATTTTTCGCATAACTATACTTGATCATGTATGTGTTGATTTGTTAATTCAGTTTCTTAAATAGGAAAGTCTTTTTTTTTCAGGGTTGAATTAATATTTAGGCATTGTAGCACTGTGTATTACTACTACGCGCTTACACGATTTATTCTAACTTTGCGGATAAACAAATTATTCTTATCTTTTAGATTATTATATCACATATTTTCACCTGTCAACTGCTGATGTATCGCCTTGATCCTTTTTTATACATGTATGAGCGATTGTATGTATGCTTTTGCGTAATTGCTTATATCTCATGCTTATAAAATTCTGGGTCAGTATTATTATGTAATTCGCTGTATTACCGAATAACAATAAAGCATTGAAGTTCGGTAATACATTCTCTCCATTTTTTATCGCTTGTCTACCGTTCAACATTTACATGCGTGAAGTACAAGTATCCTTAGTACAATTTGTACTCAACTTTTATCATCATTTATGAGTGTTAAGATTAGGTGCTAGATTTAATAGTGTTAGGGTTAGATCATGTAATCAGTGTTTGAGAATACTTTGTAATGATAGGAAAACACTCGACCTCGTTGTGGATTAATTCATAAACTCTTAGATTAAATCTGCATATAAACACATTGAAGAGCAACAAGACAGGTGGGTAGAACACTTCAAAGAACTCTTGAATCGACCAGCTCCACTGAACCCATCCAACATCGAAGCAGCACCCAGGAACCTCCCAATCAATGTTGGGCCACCAACAATTGAAGAAATCAGCATGACCATCAGACAAATCAAGAGTGGCAAAGCAGCGGGACCAGACAACATTCCAGCAGAGGCACTAAAAGCAGACGTAACGGCAACTGCAAGGATACTCCACATTCTCTTCAATAAGATTTGGGATGAGGAACAAGTACCAACAGACTGGAAAGAAGGACTTCTGATCAAAATACCGAAGAAAGGCGATCTCAGCAACTGTGATAACTACAGGGGCATCACTCTTCTCTCAATACCGGGAAAAGTCTTCAACAGGGTATTGTTAAACAAGATGAAAAACTGCTTAGACACCCAACTTCGAGACGAACAGGCAGGATTCCGTAAGGATAGATCGTGTACAGACGAAATCACAACTCTACGGATCATTGTGGAACAATCGATTGAATGGAATTCATCACTCTACATCAACTTCATTGACTACGAAAAGGCATTTGATAGCGTGGACAGAACAACACTATGGAAACTTCTTCGACAGCACGGCGTGCCTCAGAAGATAGCCAATGTCACACAGAGTTCATATGATGGATTACACTGCAAAATCGTGCATGGAGGACAGTTGACAAAGTCGTTCGAGGTGAAGACCGGTGTTAGGCAAGGTTGCTTACTCTCACCCTTTCTCTTTCTCCTGGTGATCGACTGGATCATAAAGACGTCAACATTTGAAGGCAAGCGCGGGATACAATGGACATCTAAGATGCAGTTGGATGATCTAGACTTCGCAGACGATCTGGCCCTTCTATCCCAAACGCAACCACAGATACAGGAGAAGACGAACAGTGTGGCAGCAGCCTCAGCAGCAACAGGTCTCAATATACACAAAGGGAAAAGCAGGATTCTCCGATACAACACAGAATGCACCAATCCAATCACAATTGACGGAGAAGATTTGGAAGATGTAAAAACCTTTACGTATTTGGGCAGCATCATTGATGAACACGGTAGATCTGATGCAGATATGTGGGCGCGGATCGGCAAAGCAAGAGCAGCATATTTACAACTGAAGAACATCTGGAACTCAAAGCAACTGTCAACCAACACCAAAGTCAGGATTTTCAATACAAATGTTAAGACAGTTCTACTGTATGAGGCAGAAACCTGGAGAACTACGAAAGCCATCATCCAGAAAATACAGGTGTTTATTAACAGTTGTCTACGCAAAATACTTCAGATCCGTTGGCCGGACACTATTAGCAACAACGTACTGTGGGAGAGAACAAACCAGATCCCAGCGGAGGAAGAAATCAGGAAGAAGCGCTGGAAGTGGATAGGACACAGATTGAGGAAAGCACCCAACTGCATCACAAGCTAAGCCCTCACATGGAATCCTCAAGGCCAAATGAAGAGAAGAGAAAGACCAAAGAACACATTACGCCGGGAAATGGAGATAGACATGAGAAAAATGAACAAGAATTGGATGGAATTAGAAAAGAAGCCTCAGGACAGAGCGGGTTGGAGAATGCTGGTCAGTGGCCCATGCTCCATTGGGAGTAACAGGCGTAAGTAAGTAAGTAAGTAAGTAAGTAAGCACCAGTCGGAAATGGAACCGCTGGTAAAAGAAGATCGCGATGAAGAGAACATGAAAGAAATCTGAGAGCGATTGTAACGACAACAGAGTTAGAGGCATAATCGAGTGTCTAAAGGACAACGCAAAGATATGCGAATGATGTATTCAGTGTATGATTTTCATATATATAGGTATATTGTACATTGTTCTAATTCTGTTTCTTATTACAATTTTAATTCCTAATTTTTTTTATTTCTAATTTAATTTATAGGCACCTTGGTCTTTAACATTCTGGGTAACCTATGAAAAAATACGTTGTCTAGCTGGAGTTGATGGCTTTTAATTGTTAATTAATAGAATTTTAAGCGATATAGTTTATTTCAGATTGTTCTCTCTGCTATTGGTTCATAATGGTATTAAGTAGTATGAGTAGTAGTATTAGTAGTAGTGGTAGATTAATGGGAGATACCCTTAAAAGAAAAACAGTATTGAACAAACATTCTATGTAAAATTTAATTCTAAATTGTCTTTCATTTGAATTTGAACTTAGTTGTAAAGAAAATTTCTATTTTGATTATGATTATTATCATTCATGTAAACTACCTATTCAACTACTCGTTTTGCAATAAAATTAATGTTTCTATGTTATTATTATTATCATCATCGTTACTATGTTTCATCACTGAATTCCGTGATATGGTCGAGGATTAAGAAAGTTCATTCTTTCTCTTAAAGTGCCTTCACACATTCACATGTTTGTAGTTTTTGTTAAGAAAGTTCTAATTACATGGGCTTCAGTATCTTGAAGGAACAAATGGCATATGAACCAATCGTTGGTCACCAATTACCATGAGACTGCATCACCTAACATTACTCCACTACCTTGTGGATTAGATCTTTAAGTCGAAGGCTCTGGGTGTGACCTAAGGAAACCACCTGCTTTGGTTTGGGCACCCGGGAAGTATCCTAGCCCTCACATAAATCGAATGATTTATGTAGTGCATATCTATTTGGTGCCTTCTTGTATCAATGTTTATATGCTTCAATAAATAAAAATAACTACCTTCCCTCTACGAAGTTACTTCTGCAAAGTAGATAAACAAAAAAAATGAATACACATACATAAATAGTAGTTGCGTGACATAGTGAATGTCAGTCAGTCAGTCAGTAACAACGTAGAACTTCGTACGTACGTACATCAGTTCGAGTTGCCACACCACATAAGCACAGAGATGCAGTGGTTGATTCAAATTCCGTAGTGGTAGAGGTAGCAAGAATATAAGCAGTAATCGGGAAGATTAGGGTTTGGAGATGTTATTTAAAGAGTATAATCCAGTGAAATAAATTTGGAAAGAGGAAAAAAGGGACATGAAGAATTCAGAAGATTAGAGTTTGGGAGATTACAGAGAGTGGATGCACCTGCGCCATTGCAAACGATTTTGAGCCATGTCATTCAGGGTCTCTAACCATCGGTTGATGTCATCTCGCGGTCCCCAACCAGGTAGTCTACACCTACCAACATGACTCAGTTCACTTGTCAGTGACTTCATGGACTTGTGCCATGCTTTGGTTTGGCCGCCCCTAGCTTTCTTCCAACCTACTCCTATACCACTGAACATAGCACGTCGAGGCAGTCGGTCGTTGGGCATACGTAACACGTGTCCCAGCCACCTCAACTGATGAAGTTTCACTACTTCATCAATTGATTTGCTATCCTTACCTAGTACCCGTTTCCTAACAACTGTGTTACTTACTCGATGGTCCCATGATATACGAGCAATGTTTCGAAGACACCTATGATCGAATACTAGTAACCTACGGATATCCTCTACTCTTACCGGCCATGTTTCACTGCCATAAAGTAGGACGGAACGAACTGCTGCGCAGTAAACCCGTCCTTTGGTTGATAGACGGATATCTCGCCTACGCCATAAATGACGCAAGTTGGCAAAAGCTAGTCGAGCCTTCTGTATCCGTGCTGAGATTTCGTCACACACCAGACCACAAGGGCTGATGAGACTTCCAAGATAAATGAAGCGGTCGACACACTCAACTACTTCACTCCCTATCACTAGTTCGGGTGTCGATGTAACCCAATCCTGAAGCAACATTTTGCATTTCGAGGGGGAGAATCGCATCCCGAACATGCTTGCATTGTTGCTTAGAGTGGTCAGAAGACTCTTTATTTTGTAACAAATGAAATAGTTTATTAATAGTGATAGTCAACTTGCAATTGTCAACAGAATAGATTCTGTTAGATTTCTTCATGTTTCATTAAATAGCTTCACCTTCAAATAAAAAAGTCTATACTGTTTTGAATAATTCCAATAAATATTAAAGTACATATTTTGTCTTATTACTTCAATACAACCTCATCTTTAGAATCGAATCTTCTCGATATTAACTTTTCACTGTATAAGATAGACTTACAGTTACTTAGAGAAAGTAATTTATTAGTCACTTGATAGAATATTTCGTCAAGTTCAAAGTTTTGTTAACAATTCGAAATGATCAAACTGATCAACTTGCATGTAAGTAACGAAGAAGTTGAAGAAATAAAATGAATTCATCATATTCTTTAGTTGATAACATTGTTGATCTTTTAGAATTTCTAATAGGAACCAAATCTATATATGAAATCCCCAAAGGAATTTAATAGCATCCAAACAGTTCTATTAATCATTTAATTCAGAAAACTGAAAAGCACAACTATTGTACGATACATGATGAGTACAATATTACAATTATGGCATCATACTATAGAAGTACAATTCTAACCAACAATATCACGAAACTAAAGCGAATACTAATTTGTATAGGTTTCAGTGGCCGGTAGATTTGAACCCAGATAGATCGTGTGATTATCGTTATGGACTTACACATGTCGTCAATCCTCGTATATTATCATCGACTTAAACCACGTTGGTGAATAACAGAATTAAATGAATCAAATACGAGGGTGGATTATTGAGTGTGTATATTCCGTTTAATCGTTGATTGGAAAGCGAAGCAAATCAAAGTGCCGCATGATGCTGTAGGCGAGTGAGCCAATTCGATTTAATTAAGCGTTAATTGATCTTTGTAGTCAGAAAAAAAATAAGTTATGGACGTGAGATGAGTAAGATAAGAAATGTACACGCATACGTTTACATAAAAACAGTCAACGTTGATAAATGAATCGTTGACGAGGTCAAAACATGGTTTGAGTAGAATTGATAAATTGGTTTGTCTAAAAAGTAGAATAACCTATGTGGGTTTGATATAGTATCAGCCTCTACAAGATATCTGATATTAGTGACATCATCTATCCAAGTAATATTTGAAAAAAATCAAAGGAAAGTTGGGCCTTGCAACAATGATTTGTTATAACTGTCATGGCTTTTTCAAGAGAAAGAATACAACTCGGTTCTTGTGTGCATCGACCTGAATTCAAAAGAATGATCACTACTAGGCGGAAGAGATCATAAAAAAAATGCAGACTTATTAAAAACACCGCAGTAAGTAGAATTGTGATGTCTTGGATATTTATTCATTCATTCAGATGTTTTACAATGTAATACCAATGATTTAGATAAAATAAGGCCAATTCGATTCACCCCATTAGATTCTCATTATTTAGTGCCAACAATGTGTAATATTTCAAAAATCCATATTCCACATGAAATATATCCTTGTATAATAGAATTGAACTTCGTCACCATAACGAAGATCATCAAGTTCGAAATGTTCCAATGAAAATGTTGTCATTGAATACATAGTTAAATATGCTTCAGATGTGTTATTCTGTGTTTAACTGCTTGTAAGTAATTGAATTATTCATTATATTCAAACTTTTAAAATGTAGATTATGCAATAAGTAATGAGTGAAATATGCTAGTAACATATTTACAATTGATTGATCACTGAGTGATGATCAATGCCATGTACGTCAAGTCCTTCTTAGTATAGATCGAATCCTGTCGACTCAGTTGCAATGTGTCCACCAGTCTAGGTGATATTGGGTGCACTAAGTTGAGATAAGATAGTGGTTGGAGGTAGTCAACAGGAAACTCTGGACCTAGGTTTCATGCTACTTGACACTCGTCACCAAAGTATACCTGTCATCTTGAGAGAACTGATGCTCCCTAATGGATTCGATCCCGTGTTACTATGTTTCACAGTCAGAGACGTTGCCATTAAGTTATCGGGCCGCGACTGACCTCCTGTGAGACTGAGATGTATTTACAATTGATCGATCATTGGGATTTCCTGTTGACTACCTCCAACCAACATCTTAGCTAGTAACATATCTTAAATTTTCAAAGACACCTGATTTTCAACATACATACAAAATAGTAAATCTAGCTAAAGATGAAATCTAACACATATATACCTATTTTTATATTTGATCGTTGATGCTAATCGACAAGAAATTCTAGACTTGGTTTTCGTATTGATATGCAGTTGCAATTAAATATTTATTTGGAATTTTGTGTTCACATGACAAGTTGCTTACTTATAGTAATATTTCTTAGTTTCAGTTGATAACACTATGTAGTGGCTTTGTGTCGTCAATCAATCACCTCAGTAACCGCTATGATATAAATCTCAATAGTGTTTGTAATCAGAAAGCAGTAACAAGCGCCAACTACAGTTTATTAGAGGATGGCGCAGATCACATAGCTATAAGTACATCGAGCGAATTTGTAGCAGAGAGCGGAATATGTATATGCTAGCAATTACATAGGCAAATTTATAGTCGAATTTCATAAGGGCACAGAAAGGCAAAGCAAACTAATAATAAGATTTGAGTACATATATACCTGGGAAGGAGGATGAATCATCGAGTGATATATATAAAAGCGACCAATATTTTAACACGAGTATGTTATGTGCTCTAGTGATCATAACGGTACAAAGAAATAGACGAATTGTTCACAGTTCACAGTTATATAATATACCCTTGTGGGCCAGGGTAATTTTACATTGGTTTTCAGGAGAACCAGACACCATCCGGACTTTCACGTAAAAACCCAAATAGTACAGCTCAACCCCGTTTAGCAGAAGAACCAGACACTGTACAGGCTTTAATGCTACAATCTGAATAGTACAGCTCAATCCTGTGGCGCAACCACAAAGGTACCAAGAACCCTGGTGGACCATGGCGAATTGTTATTATTCAAATAACATTGTCTGTTAAATGAACAAAATGGCCCAACCAAAATTAAGCATAATCGAAATTGGTTATAGGATAGTTCTGATAATCTTCGTCTTCTTATTACATTATCGAGATAGTTGTTATAATGTGGTGTTTGAATGAACTAATGATTCTTTTGTACTTGTTGAATGCTTGATTTCAAATTCTAAATACAATACATTCGCTTGTGCTTGTGTCGTACTTCTTGGTTCAATTGCGTTATTTCGGGGATTCTTAGTTCATACTACAATTCAAATACTTTCAAATATTATATATAACCAGAAAGCTATAAGATTTTCGTCATACTGATATCTGTCTTCCAATCTAATCAACATGAATATATACAAGGAACTGTCATTCATCACTCATTATCTACTCGGAGTCAAAATTCAACGTTAAACTGATAATCAGTTGTTACTAAGCATGTGAATAGTTTTCATATCTCTTTGTATGTTTGTGGTTTTAAAACTCAAA